CCCAAGATAGCAATTTTAGGGGCACCAACAAACACAAAAGTAGGAGTATTTCTAGTTCATAAAATGGTCCCAATGTCATATATGTGAGGCTGTGATATTTTCAGACATCCCTGTCACTTCAAGAGAGGGATAATTCTCATGGATAAAATATCAAATTAGTTTTTAAAATTAAAAATTATAAAAAGTATTCATTATTTTTATAATTTTACAAACTAAAATAATTATTATTTTGTACTATTAAAGGCTAAAATAATACATTTATAATTTCAAAAGCTAAATGATTATATTTTCATAATTTTAAAAACTAATTTAAAACACAACTCTTGATTACAAATGTTGAAATCTATCGTAATCTCATGTGTACTGTTTAATCAATAATAATCAAATGCTTTATTCTTTAAGTATATTATCTAAGACTTGGAGGTGGCAACCAGCAAATGTAACGATGAGTGTTTAGTAGGTTAACGACTTAATTGTTCTAAAGTAAAAAGATATATAATTTAAAATTTAAGTGTTTTATAAATATTATAAAAATTCAGATTGGCTCATAGATATAGATGTTAAATTAGATTAGGTCGATTAACAAATTATATAAATGGGCTTACAAGGGTTAATGAGATAGCCTGTTTAACTAATAAAGTGTGTTTATAATATATAATCACATTAATTGATTATAATTTAATTGATTAAAACCCACTTAACTGACATATTAAACGATTCAGCCGGTGGACTTGATCCATATAGCCAGTGATAGCTGCAGCATAGCTATCATGAATAATAATAGATTCCGTTGCTTCGTTATCCGAAACAAAAGATATGCATAATTTTTTTAATTAAAATTATATACATAAGTAGATTCCTTTGTGATATTGGATTGATCGAAATTCTTAATTATCTAACCATAAAATTAACAATAAAAGAAATATAGTAGTTTTGAAAAGTTATCAAAACAACAGAAACTAAGTAGTATACGGCAATTGCTTAAGATATTTTTTAGGAATTCATAATAAGTACATCATTTGAGTCATCTGCACTGTAATGCTTTATCCAATTTGGCAATCATCATGATTGAAAATATGCTACTGTTTCAAATATTGCATATATTTTCCTATCTTTTACGTATTTTTCCTTTTTATATTTTCTATACATCTTATAACTAAAGCGACACTTAATTATGTTGCTGTTCCCGCTTTGCTTCTTATTATTATACTTTTGAATTAAGGTGTTGAATGTTACCTAAGCTAACTTCCTCGGATTGTCAATTGGGTAGCATATATGAATTAGTAATCTTTGTTTTCAATAAGACTACTGTTGTTGTTTTGCTCTCTATTAACATCTATTTATCAAACTTTCAACTGGTTCATATTTGTTATAATATAAAAAATATTATTAAGTGGTAGATAAAAATACTAAGGTGTTATGTATTAAGTGATGAACATTAAAGATTTTTTTTTCTCTAACAAGCTTGCATAAATAATGTTGAATTCTGTACATAATACCCTTACAAGTGACATATGATCGACAAAAAAAAAGGATAAAAGCCACAAGTTAATGATAATGTCCAGTAGAATATAAAAGGGAGTATATAGACAATGGAAAATAAAAGGCATAGTATGGAGTTTATAGATCACATAAATTGAAAATAAAATAACACATGTAATTAGTTCAAAAGCTATGAAGTAATTACAAGTCTTGACTTCAAACATTATTTGATTGAAAGCACTTGCGTGCTTGATGTGCAAGTAAGATCACTTCAGTGTGAGTTCTCTTTTGTTGGACCCAAAACTTGTGGCAAGAGTTGCATTTGTTCTAATAATTGAAAAGCTTTGCTGTTCTCAACCTCAATAATTGACAAGTTAAAAAGCTGCCCGATTAATCTATTTTACCTCAATGCCATGCTAGAATTTAGGACCGCAAACAAATGCAACACTATGCTTAGTTCTTGTTTCTCCAATTTAACTTTCTAGTTTCAGTGTATGATTAGCAATAGTTTAATAATATGTTTGAGATGTTATATTTTGTGTATTATTTCAACTTGGTATTAACTTTTAGAATTTGAAAAATATTAATCAATACTTTTATGGATATTAGATTAAAAAAAAATTATTTGCTAATTTTTTTTTTAATAATATTCTTACTTAAAACACTGACCTTTTCAAATTTTGCACCTAAAAGGTTTACTCACAACCCACAACCCTACCAAGAATTGTGCCCACATCCAAAAACAAACGAACAGATTGTCTGACAGTTTGGGTATGGACGGAGCAATGAGATGGGAGGTATTTTGTCCACAAATTGAAGAACAAATTGCAAAATCTTAGAACCCAAAATTTGAGATTCTTGCATTGCACTCCCTAACTTCAAATTTGTTCATTATTGGCTTGGAAATTTCCCTCAAGGTCACATCTTATAATAGCTAGAAATCTTTATTAATCTTTATGAACAAAATTGCTCCTACCAGCATGTGACCGTGTTATGAATGGTATGAACACGAACTGAAAAACAAAATGATAAACTTTTGGGGGGGGGCCAAAGGACCAAGAACCCGACAAAATAATCTTAGCTTTTTAGAGGTTTGGGTATGCCATGGGTCATGACTCATGACATAAACCAAGTGTTACATAATTTAGTACTTTGAGATTCATATAAATGACTCCCTATTCACAGGTAGTGTTGTTCTTTCTCCCACACAAGTCAATGATTCCAAGGACTGCATCTTCGCTTGTTGACTCCGCAACTAACAAAGGAAACATAGAGTACTATGGATATGTGTGGCAAACTCAGAGACCCCACATCACCATATAAATGGTTAGCTTGATTAAGGATAAAGTGTATATGAAGGAGATTCTTAGATTTACTCTATAATTCACAAGAGACATAATTAAGAGATTGGTTCAGGGCCATAACATTATTCTTTTTACTCATAATGGAATCACTAATTGCTAGCACATGCTTGCATGAAAAAAGTATCACAGCTCAACAAAGAGAAATCAAAATCATGGTCTCTTTATAAGGATTGCTAGCTAAATCCTATCTACTATCATGAAGGCCTTCTTCATATTGTTGGTAGACCTCAAACATTTACTAATTGCAATCGACACCTATCATTGTAAACCACCATTTGCTTCCTTAAAAGGACTAGTTTCCACCAAACTAGATATACTGGTCGGCGCTTTACTGCTTAAAGCAATTTGTGGTTGACAATTCAAATCTAATTAGACCTAATCTTGGGTTTACGACAATCTTTTTTTGGCTATTTCAAATATTTCTTTACGTTGTGATGTACACAAATGCTATGGGTAATCTCTTAAAACCAAATCATGTTAAAAACTTATTTGTTGAAAACATGTCTTAACTAGTGCGTTCACACGGAAGTTTTGCAACCTTAAAACACACACAATAAATAATTTTGACTAACACGAACTCGTATTTAACAAGCTTTAAAATGTGTATTTCATTCTAAACACTTTTTGCATTTTAGATCGAATATTGTCCTTCCCTTATGACAATTTTAAACACAAAAGAGTAGATAACTTTGATTTTTTTTTTTTACCCCTAGAGTACATATAATAATATCATGTTAAGAAGAAAAAATTAATTCAATAAAATCTTAAAATATATTATGAGTCTTACTATAACTATATTGTATCTTTATTTCTCATAATATGAATAAAACAGCCATAAAAGGATCCAAATACGATCATTAGCAACATGTTTTCTACAATATATCATCCCTGGACGGTGTCTAGAAGTGCGTGTAGTAGAGAATGGAGACTGTAGAGTGGCCCAAAGGACAAAGAAGGACAAAGGAATTTGTGGCTGTGGGCCTTCTCTTTTATCTTTATCCACTTTATGGTAATGCAAATGGATGTTATGATTTTGCCTCAGACATGAAGATAAGAATGAGGTTGTGGCAGATCTTTACGACATTCCCTACCGTTCGAATATGATTCACTAATGTTTGTGCCTTTTCATGCCAAGTATGAAGTACTCTCACAGAAAAAAGTTTCAAGTTTCCCCTCTCCACTAATTTTTTTTCTTAATTTCTTAATTACGAGGGATAACAAGGAAAAAAATTGAGGCTTAGGTTTAATGCTACTTTTCTTTTTCTTATTCTTTGTCTTTAAGGAATTTACCAATAAAATGGGCCTTGCTGCAGTTGTAGGGTCCACTTATTTTTTAGGTACAAAATAAAGAACGGCTAGGAGCTACTTGGGCTCATCGATTAGGACCCAACCAAAATAAAAAGGGAAAGTGAAAAAGTTTGGGGCATGGAGGGAACAAAGAATGACCATGAGTTTCATGGGACTTGAAAAAAATAAATGAAGAAGAAACCAAGGGAAAGAGAAAGCTAAGTCCCTGATGGCATTCCCCTAAATGAAACTATTTCTTTTTCATTTTAGTTGCTTTTTAATTGCCATTAAGAAATTGGATTATTCACTGTTTTGTACTGCTGCATAGCTCCTGGGCTGGACTTGTTTGTCTTGATCGATGGGCCTATTTCTTAGTTCTGCTGGCCTTTGTGCCTTTGATTGGTGGGCCAGAAAAAGATGAGATGAAATGTTTTAAAAAAAAAGGTTTGTATTTCCTAAAAGAGAAAAATGGTCCATTGCTAGCCCTTAGGCTCGTCAACGCTTACAACTAGGCCTGTGAATGTCTAGATTCTGATGGTTCCTTCTAGTTCTATCCCTCAAATTAAGAGGTTTATTGCTTGACCAAAAAAAAAAAAAAAAACCTTTCTCAGTGCTTAAGTTAATAAATTATTTGCATTTCTTTAATTGACTCATTAGTCAATTTCAAAATACTTATTAATTGAACGAGGAGGGCTAAGAAGTAAGAATACACTTCTTGACATACTTTTTTTAATATGCTCATAATACACTTCTGATTATTAATTAGAATTTCTTAAACGTTATATAAGAGATAATAATTGTTTTCTGAATGAGAATAATTAAATTAAGAATAAATTTTACATGATTTTTTATTTTTATGATAAATTTTAATTAATGATTAAGAATGTGTTAAATAATGTTACTAACATTTTTTTAATAATAATATTATGATCGAAATACGACACGTCAAGAGTCAGCTCACCTTAAAACAACCCATACTCGTTTTGCTCACTTTGCAGATCCCTACCATGCCACCGTTTTGGTGTAAGCTCAACCAATAACTCTCCACATTAGTGAAATACTGATTAGGACCCTCATAGTTGTGTGACCTTGTTGCCTCTTATTTACTTGGGAGCATAGAACATTTAAGGAAAAGACCGAAGTCAAACAAATTAAAGAGAATAGTTCAAAGGTTTTGAAAAGTATAATGACAATTTTCGTTGGTAATCAATGATAAAATGCATCGTTAACATAATTAAAGTCAACTAGCTGGGAGAGTCTCGAAAGCAATGGTCCTAAACAATAATTAGAACATTTATAAAACGTGCACAAACCGATGAATACAGTCAACGTGTTCATTGCTAATAATGTTATAAATGAATATGTTGGAAGAATTCTACATAAAATTGACCCGTGAAACTTTATCAATGATAACCGTTCACATGAATCTTTTAGATCTCGTTGGTTAAAATGGGTAAGTGACCCCATCAATGCTAAAGTAATAGTGTTTTTGGCTATTTTGAGTCTTTGCGAGTATAAGAGAACATGCAAGTTGATCATAAATCTCAGAATTATTCAGTCGTTATTTTATTTTAAAACATTGATACCCCCAAAGAAGAAGAAAACAAGACAACCCCGGAAATGGTCCAATTTGATTTGGTCAGATCTTAAATGATGCAAATGCCACTTTCTCTTGGGATTCAACCAGTCAAGCTCGGCGACAATCGTAGCCTTGCATTCAACAATTGAGCTGCAACTTCATATTTCAAATCACAACCACGTGCGTAATTTCTACAGTAAGTGTCCATAACATGATGATTCGCATAAATGCTATTATTAAAGTAAAATTCTAATTTTAATCGCCATCTAAGTACCTGAGTTTGTTATGATATAAATCGTTCGACCAACAATTACAAGAAAGAGAGAGTTAGGCCTTAAGATTCAATGGTTTTATAAGAAATCAAGAATCTGAATTACAGTAATATGATTACAATCTAATAATTTCCCTCTCTACGTATTCACTACAAGTGTCAAAGTGCACTTCATATTACATAAATAACTATATGTAATTGATGAAAAAAAAAAAAAAGATTACTAACGCTAGGAGGTGCGGTTGGGTGGGCGAATGGCGATTTTAGCGGGTAAGGGTCGACCCGTTCCGGTTCCGCCGCAACTGCTACATGCCATGAGACCCGAACCTGCACAGGTTCGGCAGCCAACGTCACGATCGGACCAGCGCGAGCAGAGGCAAGTGACTCGACCCGTTCCGTTGCAAGTTGGGCATCGAGAAAATGGGCCTGCCATGGGCTTGTGGTCCATCACCGATTTGACGAGAACCGCTCCGGCGAGGACGCTAAGACCCGTCGCCAATTGGCTCAGTACCATCGGACCCATTTGCTCTAAGACGAAGAGAAAAGAGAAAGGTTAAGATTTAATGTGAAGTGTTGAATAAGTAAGTAATGAGAGAAAATATAAATAAAAGTGGTTGTGGAATTGTACACGTTGACGACACTGTGGTCTGTGGTGGCTCTTACGAGTTTTCTTTTGATTTTGGAGGTTAGTGTAGATGTTTTTCTTTTCGCTTTTATATTTATTTTTATTTCATACCACATGGCTTAATAATCCATGTTAAGAAAATTGCCTAGTCACACTTCCATAAGCAATTTCATGAAGAAAATTACTAGGAGAATTTTCTACCATGGTACAAAGAGGGGAAGAGCAAAATAGTGGATAAATTTTGGGACCATTTCCTTCGTCTCTTACAAAATTAATTTGTTCATTTGTGTTCAAATTTTTCAGAATGTTTACACGTTCACCACCATTGGCGTGCCATGTTAGATAAGGAACTTCTAGGATGATCTTCGCATGTTAGCCCACAGGCCCGTCTAATTTAGTTCATGGGCCTTTAGAGCGGACAAGTATAACAGGTGTTATAAAAAACGGAATTTAAGATCAAGTGGAGATGGCCGAGTTGGTCTAAGGCGCCAGATTAAGGTTCTGGTCCGAAAGGGCGTGGGTTCAAATCCCACTCTCCACAGCTAATGCAATTTTTTTTCGACAAAAACCACATTTCCATTCAAGATTCTGATTGTGTTTTTTGTGCTCTGTTCTTCGTAATTCAATTATTGTTCGCTTTGTTCCAATTATATTTTGATTATCAGCCCTTTCAAAATTCAATTATCACCAGTAAATAGCAATATACGTTGATGCCAACTAACGATAAGTAACATAATATTCTTAACCAGATTTTCGTTTGGTCGCATGGTTGAGCTAACAACAAAGAAAATAGGATGTATCAACAATACGTGAAGAAATAATAACTGAAGCCAAAGTATTAGAGAAACGTGAGGTTTGCCGGACAAAAGTCACTCGTCATATTGAATGAAAATGAAGCCATTGCCACTTTAAAGAGAAATAATACATCCTCTTTTTTGTTTCATGAGCTAATAAAACAAAATCTCACTTTGAAAGAACAGTAAATCCTATTCAAAAAACTTGTCTGATATTGATGTTGATTCTTGAAGTTTGAATGTATTTTAAGAAACAAAGATCATCTTCATGCGCCAGCTGTGTCTCAAGATGGCCTATTTCAGCATTTTCCTTATCAGTGAATATCCGAGGAACCCCTGAAACATAGATCAAACGATTCCATAGTAAGACAGAATTTTGAAACTGCGCAAGCTGGCACAATGCATAGCTCGATCTTTAATTAAACACGTGAATTCCCAGTAATAATCTTTATCCAAGTGACTCCAAACACTTCAAATTACCAGATGACACTTACCATGGAAGCATTCCCTTGCATCTCCAGCCATGAGTACAACATCGCCGCTCCGAAGGAACATTGCCTGTGGAGTATCCTCTCTGGATTTTCCTCCCAAAAGAAATATAGCTTTGCAGCCCAGACTGAGGCAATGAGGATAATAACTAATTAGGATCCAGGTAAAAATCTTTAATCTTTCTTTTGATATGTTCGTAATGGTTCTAGACACTAAAATACAAAATTGTCAAAAAGAAATTAGCATAATACCTTAAACTAACTATAGGCTTGCTCCAATCTGCTTCCATGTCATCAAGGTGGCCACCCAATGTGTCCCCTGGAATAATATATAAATTAAAGTGAGACGTTCAATAGTAAACAATTTGAAGGGATGTAAGAAAAGGAAGCATGGAATTATCAAACAAGCAAATTCACAACAAAAATATGCTTTAAGCATACCTAAGCCAAAGTAATTCACTATGGCAGCTTCAGGCCTGAACTCAACACCAGCAGGCAATGCAGGTTTTGCCAATTGTTTTGCAAGCTCACAGAGTGCTTCAGGGATTTTGTTATGTGGGAGAGACACATCATAATTCCGCTACACACAAACATAAGCATCAAGTGATTCCCCAAATATTAAGCAGATGTGGCTTTCCTTAGAAGCTGAAATTAAATTATAACTCCAAAATCCCTATGTAAATAACCTCAATAGAATGAATTTTACAGCTACCCAAATTTAAGATGCGTGTTATGCAAGATAAAAAAAACAATTTTTAACCTCAGAAATTTATTCATTTACACTGGCTACTTCTTACAAGCAGTGGTCTTATATCTCATTCACATCACTACAAGAACAGTTCCTCCCTAGCTAAAATCCAATGTCTGCTAAGCAGTAGATCATGCATGAGTCAATAACCAGCTACAAGGTCTCCAAAACAAATATGTAATAATATACTTATCCCGCAGCTAAAGTTTAATTGTTTTGGAGAGAAAGAACTGAAATACATTTGAAGTGGCAAATCTAAATTTACCTTGGACCAATCAAATTGTAGGCCAAGGGTGCTCCATCGCAACTTTCGAAGCAAAGCAGAAGCAGAAATGGATCTGCACTTGCTCAAGGATGCTTCCTTTTCAGTGGTAAACTTCCATTCCTTACTATCTCTACAACCAAAATCAGTACTAGGTTCAGATTCAGTAACTGGAGAATTCTTTTCAATCAGAACTTTCCCTTCCTTAGCTGCATCGAACACATCGCGTATTGGCCCGTATATAGCATTGTGATTTGTCCTATTAGGTGGCCGTGGGAAATCAGTTAAGGTCTCCCTTATCAAACTACATTGTTTCTCTACGCTCAAAGCTCCAGGAATAAAATAAAAGCCTGCAAAGTGCAAACACCATGTGTGGCTGAGTGCATTAGTTATGAGCAAGTTACTTTCAATGCACATGTGATTAGTTCCTAGTTAGATAAACGGCACATTCAATTTCGCCCTCTTCTATACAAAAAGATAATGAAATTGAAAAGAGAATACCTGGGCGATTTTGCAAAGAAAAAACTGGAGAAGTGAACTTGTCGTTAAGAATGATAACTCCCGGAGGAAGATCACTGTTGCGAAGATGGCATTCTAGAATGGATCGAAAGTCAATGACCTCCGTTAAGTCAACGGGTTTGCGTTGTTTTTTCCTGTCAAGAAAAAGAATTGGAATTGCAATTAGAAATTGATGATTAGAAATACGAACTGAAACCAATAAAATTCAAAATAAATAAATAAATAAAATACTTTTTGTTCTTGGAAGATGCATTGTTGTCGTAGTAGAGCTTGTAGTTCTTCTCTGCTCTTCTGAAAGCTGTTCGCTCGGCATCTTCTCTGTTATTCTCCGATCCGTACATCGGAAAAGGGGTCGGAACTCAGGGAAGGGGTTAGGGTTTTGATTTTTGGAACAGAAAGAAATTATAAAATTGAAAAAATCTTAATGACAATAAGATCCTCAGATCAAAGCTTATAGACAGGGGCATTAATGACAATTCATAATGGTCCTTATCGAAAAAATCTGTGTTTTCCGAGAGTGATGGACATGCTTATATTGAAATTCATTGAATGATGAGGAGGATACACAGAAAAAATGGCGTGCAGGAGCATGCTTCGTTCGGCGATTCTTGTGGAACCGTTTCAATTTCAACCTCTTCATTCGAATAACAGAGGAGGCTCGCGTTGCCAAACCGTTACGGCTCGTCCGTTTCACCGTGCCAAAGGAGGAGCTCTCCGTTGCTCTCACAACGAAACGCCGTCTTTTCAGGACGATCAAGGTCCTCCTCAAGAGGCGGTGTTGAAGGCCATTTCAGGTAATTTTCTCTTCTCAACAATTTTATTTACGCTTAATTTGAATGAGACGAGCTTCAGATGAATGTTGAAAATTCTTTGATTGGTTAATTGGTTATAGAGGTGTCTAAGGCGGAAGGGAGGGTTGGGCAAACTACGAACATGGTTATTGGAGGCACTGTGTCGGATGATACTACCGATGAATGGCTTGCTTTGGATCAGAAGGTATTTCAATTCCTTTTAATGGTTTGTTTTGTTTGCATTTCATGGCTTATAGTTCTTGCCATAATGTTCATGTGTGCAACTCGTCGCGCTTTCCATATGTGTGTGTTGTTATAACAATACTTGTGTCGTGAATTATGTTGTGCTGTGCAGGTGAACTCATACCCAACCGTTCGGGGATTCACTGCAATAGGAACTGGAGGTGAAGATTTCGTGCAATCTATGGTTGTTGCTGTGGAATCTGTAATCCAACAGCCTATTCCTCAGGTGTGTATACATGGACATGTTTGTACAACATTGGAAATTGGACATGTTTGTACAACATTGGAAATTGGACTTGTTTGTTGGAAAAATTTGCTGACCATGCACTAATTCATGGTGTGGTCCAAATGACATGTGTAATCGTTTTCTCTATAACAACTTTCCTTATGAGCTTAGCTTTGCTCTTTTATACCATACAATTATGGCCCATGGTAATTGAACTTCTAACATGTGCATGTGTAATATATCTTTGAAGTTCTTTCCAATATATTTGTTATTATTACTGTAAGATTAATTTTGTGTCTAGTCTTGCTTCAGTTTAAATTTTTGTGCAACTTGGCTGTTTCTTAACTTCATGTGATGCTTGTTGGTGGATGACGTAATTTTGTTTGTTGGGCTTGTAAAATAGCATTCTAAGGTGGAATCATACATCCATGTCTTCTGTTTGACTGTTAAATAAAAGCAAAAACATTGCCCCTTTGATGGAAACCAATTGCAATTGTTGTCCCATAATTACCTCTGTATTAACACTATGTAATACATCTATCACACTCTACGTAACTATCAATAGCTTTACAACTAACTTCAGAAGTTCATTGTGGGCTGCAACTTTTAGTTTTTGTAGTTTTGCTGCTGTGGCGATTCGAAGATCACATGTGAATATCAATCATTTTATCTTATCGCTTGAATGGTTGCTGAGTCGTCACCAATAGTTATAACAAGCCCAAACTATTAACTATATCAAAATGCTAAATTGCTCGTTTTTACATTTTATAAATGAGGTAAGAAGCTTCAAAATACTATATATTTAGCAATGAAAAGGACAAAGGGATTAATCTTGGCCCTGCATTATGAAGGACAGTGATCAGAGGGTTTTACACAGTGAAAAAACTTTCTAACATGTGCTCAGAGGGTTGCTACTTTTCTGGAGAGCTCTGAGCCTCTACTCATGCTTATGTCTGATAGGTGGGCGTCAAACTGAAAAATTATCTTCTATGTATGGTCTGGAATGGAAAAGTATCTCACTTCTACATCTTACAAGTGCACGAGCTCACACTATAGTCCCGAAAAGTATTTCACTTCTCTCTCTTACAAGTGGACAAGCACACGCACACACACAGTCTTCTTGATCTATGAAGCATAAACCTAGGTGGGCTCAAACTGAATAATTATCACCTTTGTATATTTCTGAAAAGTATGTCACTCCTCTCACATACATTTGTTCTGGCATGCACTCATACACAAACGCAGCGTCTTATTGTTGATCTAAAGCATAAACCTAGAAGTTTGCACCAGGTAGGAGTTAGAAGGCTTTGCTTGTTATCAAATATTGGTTGGCAGTGAATGATCTGCTCTCCCAGAATAAGGAAAGTTTACTGGCCTTATTATTAGCTCGTATCAAATGAGTTCATATTCTTAAATTTAATTGTAAAGATTATTAACATAAAATAAACAGAGTTTATAGGAAGGTCATAACTCATAAATGTCTTCCATCAGCTCCAAACAAAACTTTCTGAATACCCCCAAAATATATAGTGAGCTTTTATCATTGTTTTTTAACGAAGTATAATTGTTTTACCTTGCCTGCTGTGGTTATCTTAAAGAGTTTGCTACAGGAAGAGTGGCAAATATTGCATCATTAACTCTCACTAATATATTAATATGACATCTACACTTTTATTTGGTGCTTGATGTTCGTGTTTCAAAAATGTTAATATCTTTGTTGCAGGGACGTGTGAAACAGAAATTATCAGCAAGGGGCAAATACGTGTCCGTAAACATTGGTCCTGTCCAAGTTGTTTCCAGTGAACAGGTCTTTCTGTCTTGTTCCCTTATCTTTTCTCTGCTGAAGTAAACCTTTTTTTCCCTTTTGCTAAAGATCATGATGAGACTCCCATTTTTTACATAGTGGATTGTGTTTCCGTGTAATTGATTCTGGTTGAATATACCTTGACATGGAATTTTGTTGTATTTTTCAGGTCCAAGCTGTATATAATGCCATGAGAAGGGATGACAGGATGAAATATTTTTTGTAGTCTGTTAGATTTTGTATAGAATGCAGGGTTTCCAAGGGGATGAATTAACATGTCTGCCTTCGAGTGGTTAGACTGATTTTGTTCTTCGATTAATCCTTGATATCATTGTAATCAGATGTAATCATATTGCGAATTGAATCTCATCCGTATTTTGTGAAGATGTAACGTTGTATGATTTATTGCCATTAGTTACAAAATAACATTATTTTCTAGTGCATATAGTTGAAGTTGTTGAATAGTAGATGTTTTCTTTGGTGCCTTAATTCCATATTAATTTAGTGTTTTACTTTTTCTACGTGTTATTGAGTGTACGAAACATATGGAAAAGGATGGCGATACACGCTATGAACAACTTGTTCGTAAACAATAATTTTGTTCTGATTGGTTTACGGTTACAAGCCATTAGAATCTATTGTTTGGAAATCGAAAATTGATCGAGGCCATTGATTGTGCCTTAAGTTTGAGCCTATAAATTTACGTGCGTTAATGTATTTTTCTTTAGCTCCGTTTTGCTTGATGAACTGAGAAAAACAAACTGGTCTTTTACTTAAGAAAAACTCAGTTTCCAATGTTTCATTGAAACGGGTATTCAAAAAGGCTTGAAATATGATAATCATGCCAGGAGTTGGGTCGACTCTTTGCCAGAGCCATGCATTAGTTTCATTTCTTTATTTTTAAGATGACATTCTTGTTTGTCAAGAGAGATTTTCGGATCCTTACCACGTAACAGGCACAAAGGGCAATGTCTTCAACGCTTTAACCGACAGTTATTTAAAAAGAAAAAAATAACATAAAATGATGTTTTCTCTTTTCGGTGATCCATCTTGTCTGTTCTTGACACGAAATGAAAATCAATTAAGGATGAGAGGAAAATCTGACCGATGTGTTTCAACTTTTGATTATAATACGGTACCTTGCTCGCTTCCCACGATTAGCATCTTTAACCTACAAATTTGTTTGTTTACTTTGCATTTTTTTGTTTTTTTTTTCCCCTTTTTTTCACTTCTCTTTCAATTTTTTAAAAACTTTCCTTCCAATTTAACCACAACACAAACTGTTTACTTTCTGTTTGATCAATTATTTTAATGAACCGAAAGCTCAAAACTTTAATACAGTATTATAAATATTTTTAGAGATATTTTTAAGTTAGAACTAACGTTTTATTTTAATAATTAATCTCTATATATTAAAATAATATAAATTTTTGGGCCTGTGATGATGATTCTAATTCACGATTCTCTTCTTGGAATTCTAGATTTTTAGGGTTGAACCTTTCTAACATAAATTCCACTCACAAGCCGTAGTCAAATTAAATACTTGGTGCTTGTTTGTGAATGACGTTTTGGTCTACAATGAATAGTGAACAACTGAGCGGAACCGTACACGCACTATAATTAGTAAGTTTTTTTATTATTATGTAGGTACTGTGAAATTAAACATATGTTAATATTAAATGTAATAACTTTTAAATTAAAAACTGTTTATTATTATATTAAATAAAACTCAACTAAAGAGATAAGATTCTTAAAATAATATAATCATATATATAATTAAAATAAAAAAAATTATTTTTATTAATGTGGTGTGATTACAATTGAACTCAAGTGTTGGACCTTTCTAACATAATCACTCACGCCGTGGTCAAATTAAATACATGGGGCGTGTTTGGGTGTGACACTTTGGTCTACAGTTAACAACTGAACGATGCCATGCACACACACACTATAATAAGCAATTACGAAAACCAACCACTGTCTATGTCCATTTCATTCACGACCATTTCTGCGTTATTTAATTGTCTTCCATGCATGATTTGCGGTATGGATTTAATTGATAGCATTTTTCACAACATTAAAATAAATTTAAGCCTTTAAATAGTTTTAATATAAGAAGATTGTTTTTAATCAGTGTAAATTAAATTATTATGAATAACATTAATCTTTTTACCCTAAATGGTGAATTTAAAATTTGTTTCGTTTGAAAAGAAAAACTGTGAAAAATCATTGCTGTGAAACGGCAGGTAAATTTTCATTACTTTTATATTATTTTTTCATTACTTTTATATTATTTTTTCACATGTATCATGTGAAAATTTTGTGTATATTGAAACTTGTAAATATTTATAAGTAACATGCTCGTCAATATTGTAGATAACTGGGGGTTTAATTCATTTAAGATACATGTATAAAGTAAGAAGACATCATCATGTATCTGGTTAATCTAAATGAGTTTAAAATAATAACAAATGTTGGAATTTAAACTATAATTAATATATTTTTGCATTTCTCCATCTATTAAAATGCATAAACAGTTATTAATTTGGCCCAAACTTTTTACATATTGAAAATATTTTAATGATAAGTCTAAAAGTAAGAATTTAAACGTTAAAATTAAATAATTAAATAATTTTTAATTAGAACCTTTATAAAATTATTTTTTTCCTTAACTTTTCATTTTAAAGAAAGAAAAAAAGGTGAAATAAAATAACGGCATCGGTTTCTGATTCAACAATTGTCATTAACTCGGCATGTAAACGCAGAGCTGTTAACAATACCTCTCCAGAACAGCACATGGCTCCACTCATTTGAGAAGAGAAACCACCAACTAAAGCAACTTAATGAGTGCTATAAGAACATCAGGTAAAAAGCATTTAATAAATTTTTAATAGCTTTTAATTGTTCTCAAAAGTAATGCTCATTAAATATTTTGTATATTTTTTTAAAATACTTTTTCCTTACTTTAGTTAAATATTTTATTTCCTTCATTAATACTTGTTTCGTTTTTTCTGCAATAATTTTATTTTCAATAATTCATGCTATTTGACAAGAAAAATATATAATAAATATGTGAGATAATTAATACAATAAATAGAGAGAGCATAATAAAAAGTAACATATTTTTATTCAATTTAAAATATAAATATTTTTAAAAATTTATATAAAACCTTAAACATTAAAAAAATAAAATAAAGATATATTTTTTTAACAAACTTATAAATAATGAGTTTGTTTTGTTTAACTTACAAAAAATTATACATAATTGAAATTGAATAAATAATTGTTTTTATAAAAAATTATAGCATTTGATTATATAAATATATAATGAAATTGTATATTTTTAATAAACATTACTAAGTATAAATTCAATATATTCACAACATTAAATACTATTACAAAGAAAATTAAATACTATAATTATTTATTTATTAATTTTTAATATATATCCTTAAGTATCACGTCAGAGAGATTAAATTAATAATAATATAATGGGAGGATGAGTCTAACGTCGCTAATTTTCGATCATAATCGAAGGCCCCCAGAAAAAAAAAGATATTTGCATTGTGAGAATCGATCATTGTCGGCAAAGGGTGCAATGGCCATGGTAGCACCTGCAACCCTTCAATCCAGTGATTGATTCCTTCTGTCTCCAAATATTCGAATAACAACAAAAGAAGAGTAAATATATTGATCATAACATAAAATCTCATCTGGTATACTGTTTCTATCTGCGTTTGGATCATACCCTAATCAACAACAGAAGAAGAAAGAGTTGGCGTAAAGGGTATATGGTTTATAGTTTCAGCAAAAACGAGAAGAAGAAGTGTCGTTAGAAGGGGGTATCTGAAAGTGCCAAATCCTTCCAACACCCTTCACCAAATTCTTCTTACAAAGAAACTCCTCCGCATAAGCTTTCTCCACCTTCCGATCCACATCGTGCAGGAACACGTGCGTCGCACCCGATCCCTTCCGATTCCTCGCCATGACTGCGGCGGAGAACACGGCGGCCATTCTCCCCGGCGCCTCCGCGAAGTACCCTTTGGGCGCGTCGATCATTATCAGGTCCCACTCCGTCTCGTAAACCTCGTTCGGAAGATTCTCCAGCGCCAACTTGCACGCTTCGTTGCCTCGGAGGTAAGCCTTAGAAGGAGAACACGTGGGTTCGGAGCGGTACGAGGAGAGGAGTTTGTTGGCGTCGCGAAGTTGCGTCCGGTACCGAACCGTATGGGCTCGGAGGCCCGGTGCGTCCTTGAGAACGGTGTGGACCCACTTTGGGTCCTCTTCGAGGAACAGCGTGGTGCCACCTGGGTTGAACGAGGCCCACATGAGTGAGTCGTGGCCCAATCCGAATACCAGAAATTTGAAGGGCCGGCCCAGTGATTTTATCACGTCTAAGCTGATCTTGATCTCTGACACCGATTGTTGGGGAACCACGCGCGATGTCGCGTAGTGGAGTATCGCCCTAAGCTGCATCGGTGTCGGGTTGAAATCGTCGTCCACCCGGGTTCGGGTTAGGATCCCAACCGAAGCGGGGCAGAGGATGGAGGTTTGGATGGCGGTGGCTATGAACACCGCTGCTCCGATCAACCCCACGACGGCCAGACCCAGGAACCACCGTCTCTCCGGCACCGTATACCGGTTCTTCATATTTGAACAAATTTTGGGTCTCTGGGTTGTTGCATGTATGTTAATTATATATGAATGTGTGTGGAGAAAATGAGATTAATGTAATGTTAAGGTAATTAATGAGTAATAATTTGGTTTGAAAGAGGAGAGGGAGAGAGTGTTTGTGTCTTAAGGGAAGGTGACGAAGGTTGTTTGATTTTGTCAAATGTTGGGTGCAAATGAGAGACATGGCAACGCGATGAATGTACAGTAAGTACCCTTTTGTCTTAAGTGATACGTGTTCGACAATTTTTGGGGCTAGGACATCAATATCAAAGTGCAAATCAAATTAGCTTAGGTTTTCAAAAACTTATTTTTTCAATATTTCAAATATAAGAGTACTATAAATTTATTAATAAAAATTATGTCTTGCTTTTATTAATACGATCATAACACATTACTTAATAGCATGTAAAAAAAACTTCTCTTAATTCATTGTAAGGCTGTGGGGGCAACAAATGGAATTTGGCAATCATTATGACATTCATTCATCTTCATCGATTTAATCAACAAGTATTTAAATTTTAATAAAATTATTTCTAATTAAATATTTATATCAAATTATATTTTTATAAAAATATAAATAATAATTTTATAACTTCAATATAAATAAGTGTAAGTAAGGCAGTAAATAAAATTTACTATTTAATCACTTGTAACAAAACAAATTATAAAGTTTTATTTTAATACAGCTAATAAAAAATATATGATAGATATGATTTTATATGAATTATAATAAAAGTCAAAGATTCTTATTTATATGATAATTTATAATTCAAAATTAGTATAAAAAATTATTATAATGTTAATATATTTCAACTAACTTTTGAATATAAGAAAATTATACAGCATTTAATGTTTTAAATTAATGCTTGACCAAAGAATGCAGAATTTTTTTGAAAATAAGGAAATAACAAAAAAAAATTTGTAGAGAACAATTTATTACCTTTGTTATATATATTCTCTTAGAAAAACTACCTTATTAATATATTCTTTAAAAGTATTAAAATCAATTTATAATGTAGTTAGAATGTACCGATTGAGTAAAAATCTAATAATATATTGTTATATCAACAAGAATAATTAAATTTTATAATAATTGATTTTAAAATATATTTATTGTTTATTTTTATTAATTAATAATTTATAAAAATATTAAAAAATTATTAAAATTAAAATGTTTAAATATATATTTATTTATTTTTATTGAATTTTTAAATATATTACACACTTTAATAAATGAGAGAGAAGTGACAATGAAAGTTATATTGAAAAGTTTAAAATAATTTAAACATAAATAAAAGATATCGATTATATTTCTCAATTCACGTGCTCTTTAAAACAAAAACAAAAACAAATACATTTTCACAAAATCAAATAATATCAAACATTGTAAAATAAAATTTAATAATTTTTGATCGAAAATAAAATTTATCAATTCAATATGTGATTGATATCCAAATAATAATGTCATCTTATATGCTTAATATGATTTGATCGCACTCCAATCTTGCAGCCATAAACCTGAAAGGAGGCCATGTCCATTCCCTGAGTCCTTCTTAATGGCAATTTTCCTGAGCCTTTCTTTGAGTCCAATCCATTCTCATGTAAAAGGAGGCCATGTCCACAACATTACTGGAATCCAATTTGCACTAGATCAGCCTTTTTTTTAAAAACAAAAACTATGGTGATTTTGCAGAAAACAAATTTGTTTTGTTGTATTGACTTTGGGCCTTGGTTTTGGGCTGTATTGTATCTTAATCTATCTGATCTATGGACCCAACAAAAAATAGCATTAGTGGTCCTTTAAATATAACACAAGTTTGTGGAACAAAAACAAAAGAAATCCAACTCGAGTTTGAAAATGGCCTTGTTAGTAATTATTTTAAGGATACCGATTAAAGAATAATTAAAAAATAAATAAAAATCACATAAAATAAACATTCTCTTATGCTACCTTATTATAAAAAATGAGAATATTTAAAAATGTACGTTTTATTTATTTATTAATAATTAAAATAGTGTCGTTTTCTGAACAATGTAGTACTGGAATCCTCAATCCTCAATCTGATCTAATAATCAATGCGTCTACACTGTCGATCAATATCAATATCGCTGTGCTGTAGGGTGAGACTCTGCACCAAAGACGCGTGAGAGTCGTCTCTTTTCACAACCGTAGAATAAACATCATGCCAGCATGTCAATTGCTTCGAATAAAAAATGAGTATAATTTTAATAAAAATATATTTTATGTTTATAAATGATATGTAGAACACAAGACAGCAAGGGAAGAAGCTTAAATGTGATGATGCATGAAATGGGATACACTAAATAGATGTGTTGTGCCGCGTGGGTAATAAACATTTAACATGGGAGGTGGAGAAGACACGTAGTGGTTGGTTGAAGAACAAAAACATTTATAGCATTTGTCTTTCCAACAATAACCTCTTAACACTCACCCCTTTATTTCTCCTCCAACGCCCACCTGTTTCCCTCATTTATTTCCCAACCCCTGTTTCATCACAAAACCTACCTTGTTTCACTACTTTCAGATTATTTTCCCTTTTTAAGACCATACTATTTCTTAAAATTATATTTCATAAATAATCTTAACAACACATATTAAAAATATAATTTATAAATTGTGTATTTCTATTGCTACTCTTTCATTTTCCTCACATGTCATTGGGTGTCCGGTCAATGGAAATCCCTAGCTAGTCTATTAAATAAGGGTTTCGATAAGATTTTTTTAATATTTTAACATGAAAACTATATTTATTGTAACAAATTTATACAAAATAACAATTTTTTAAAACAAATAAATAATATATTTTTCATAATAAACTAATTCACATATTTAACGATTGTGATAGGAAAAAAATAAAATAACGGAGTTTAGCTACTGTCAACTCTAGCTGAGGTTGAGCCTTAACAAGCAGAGCATAAATAGACAAGACAACCCATAGTGTTTTTTCTCACAGCTACTCATTGATTCTTCAAACACTAAGATGAAGCAACAAAGTAGAGTTAAGTTCTTGTGGCTATGCTTGTTTCTATGGATCGCGTGTGGATCCATTAACGGAGGAGATGATTTAACTCAAGAGTGTTCAGAGGTTGTTCAGAAGGTTATTCCCTGTTTGGACTTTGCCGCAGGAAAAGAAGCAACGCCGAAGAAGGAATGTTGCGATGCAGCTACAGTGATAAAAGACACGAAACCTCAGTGTTTATGCTTCATCATTCAAGAGACACATAAGGGTAGTCCTTCCATCAAAAACTTGGGCATTCAAGAAGCTAAGCTTCTTCAACTTCCTGATGCTTGCCATGTTAAAAACGCTAGCGTCGCTAACTGTCCTAGTAAGTTTTTCTGTCATAATCACTTATTATTTCAATTTTTTTGAAATTTATTGTGATTTCATGAACTTGTGTCACTTTCTCTAAAGATTTTTTAAGCTTATTTTGATTTTTTTATATTTTAATAAATTTTACAACTAAACTTTAACAAAAACTAACTCCTCTTGCTTTTTAACTTTTTTTAATAAAAATTATATTAATTTTATTTTTATTCACAATTTTGACAATATTTTATCAAGTGATTATGTAAAAAAATAATAAATAACAGCTGAATTAAGTTACGTATCCCACCGCTGTGGAATATTGACTTTGTGGATCCTAATTATTCAGATGATTGCGTGATTAGTGTAAAGAAATGATCTGTATTAGTACAGAAATATTGTTCACTGTTGAGTTTGTTTGATGATTCCGCAATCACATATAATTCGTTGCATTTTTTCAACCCTTTATCATTAACCACGCAATTTCACCTTCCCTTTTACTCATTGTTTTGTTTTGAAAATATAATGAAACATTTTTTTTATTAATACTACTTATAAATGCTTCCCCTTTATCCTTCTATAACTGTTCTTTTCTCCTCTTCATATTCTGCACTATATTTTTTGTTTTTTTATGACATATCAGTTTTGTCTTGCAAACATATCTACATTCATGGAATGTGAAGAGAATACTTTTGAATAAAAAATGAGAGAAAGAGTAGATGATTGTTTTTTAAATCTAAGTTACACTTTTTGCTTGTTTCAAATATTTTTTTGTTTATTACTTAAAAGACAAAACTTAATGGGGGTGTCCAGTGAATTACTGACCTCCACTTTCAATATATATCTTTATTGGTTTGATTACCTAAATGAAACTATTTTTATAATAATATAAAAATGTTTAAAATATTATATTTAAATTTTGTCCTCTAGGAAATAATTGAGGGACCTACCAACTTTGTTAATATTATTTTTTATTATTATTAAAAAGATTTTATTGAAAATAAAGTAATTATTATATACTTTTATATTTTTAAAATAACAATTTATTATTTTTATATCTTAAATTCAATCTTATAGGCTTCAAAACTGATATTAACAAAATTATAAAGTTATAATAGCAAATATGTGTAAATATACCAACAAGTTTAATAAAAAAATGAAGTGACTTATCATCTAGATTGGGTAGGAGGACAAAATTACTTGCAGACCTCTCATCTACATTGGTAAGGAGGATGTAGCCATTACTGTCAAGCAGATTGAGTTCATTAACCAAAATCTGATTCCTGCTATTACTTAAATTGATACTTGACCTAAGAGCCAGAGAGGGGGGTGGGGTTTATATATTTTTATATTATTCTATACTTTTGTGAACTGATTAATAATAACTCTGTGCACGTGAATACACAAGTGTTAACACAATTGAAGGTGATTTGGTATCACTTAATAGAAACTTAAACATGGATTAGCAGAGAAAATTTAAATTAATTAATGACTAGTTATGTATTTGAAATTGTTTAAAGAAGAATCAGTTTTAGTATCACTAGTTATGTCTTCTTAAAGAATATTTTTTCAAATTTTAGTTATAGATGAGTACTTTAGGTGTTGACGGAACATAAATGGAAACATGTGGGATGTTCCGTAGGTTGCTACTTGTTGCTCTAATAATTTTGGTCTCATGTCACATGTTGCCAACCAATACTGTCTATTGCAATTTTTGTTACCTATCCTAATATTAGTAACAATAATTGAATTCTTTTTAAAACTACTGTAAGAGAGAAACAAAATATAGTATTAACATTCATGTTTAACACTAACATAGTATGTGATATGAAAATGAACAGAGCTTCTTGGTCTGCCTCCAAGTTCCCCGGATGCTGCAATCTTCACAAATTCCTCTAAGGCAACTCCTGCAAGTGCAACCCCACAAGGTACCTCACAGAGCCAAAACAGTTCGTATGGAAGTATGGTTAGACCTGGCATGGTGATGGATGTGATGATGGTGACTTTGGCCATTGTTCTCATTGCAATTCCAACCGGATTTATGAGCATTTATACATGATCTGTTAATGTTATCTGTATGTAGGAAGTTGCAGCTTTGAATTGGTTTGCATTTGTGGCCTGTGATGGTTTCTTGAATTTTGGGGATCTCGCCTTAACATTGTCTTTATTTTTCTTTTATTGCCAACTTGTTTCTTTTCTGCTTCCCACAATTAATATTTAATAGATTATTGGTGGAAGACTGAAACATAGTCAATGCTTACGACTTTGGATGTGATTTGAAATTTGGGCTGTGGCAATTTTATAGTATAATTTCTTTTTATTTTAAATTTAAGTTTAAGTTAATATAATAAATAATATGATTTTAAATATAATAATGTTTATTCAAATTCAAAGTTTACAAACGTACTTTCAAACATATGCATAAATAATTAGTCTTAATTATTTATTTATAATAATTTAGAATTATTCCTCGCCATGGATAATTTTTTTGTCTAAAATGTTTTGTTTAGTAATCTAACTTTGTCAAATAGGACTAACTGTCACCAAAGAAGGATAATGTTAGTTTTTTTAATAATCTTTAAATAATAAATAGTGTATTTAAGAGTGTATATTAATATATAATATTTTATTAAAAAGTATAAAATTTAATGTATTAATATTATTAAATACTATAATATTTTTTATTACATATCTTTAAATAAATAGTATAATAAAAATTTGTATTATAAATTGTGAAAATTCACAGCAGACACACAGTTGATTATTCATTCCTTAATATGCTTTTAAAAATTATTCATGTTAATAATAATATATCAAAAGTTGCTTAACCTACTTGTGTTCTGTGTATAAGCAATCCTCGTTCTAACGTTGTGTAACTAGCACAGGAAGGTACATTACCTTCCATTAGTTGTTCCGTGAACAACAAAAGTTTAAATTTGAATTTATAAGATATAAAGATATGTAGAAAAATGTTCAGTTTTTATTTCTTAAGGTTGAAATTGTATAATGTTTAATTAAATAAAACTATATTGTTATTTTTTCTTTCATTTCAACTAGACAAATTGTAGATCCTATATTACATGAAAAGCAAAAAATTAGATAAAACAAACAATTTTGTAAATATAAAATAAATTTATAATAATGTAGTAAACAATAAAAAGTTATATATAATCATTTTTTATTAAAATTACATAATTCAATACAATTTAAAACATTTAATAATATTAAATATTACATTTTTTTATAAATATTTATTATTTATAATTTTATATCTCGTTTAATATTGTACATGTTAAAAAAAATATATAAGAATATAAAATAATTCATGTATTTAGTAAAAATTTTAAATTTTACCACTAAAATGAGTAGTTTATCATAGTAAATTTTTTTAAAAAATTATAAAATAAAATAAAATAAAAATTAACATATATTTGATTAAAATATTTTAAAACATCTCTTTGTTTATTTATTTTAATATACACTACCTAATACCAGTCATTATACTAATGACAAATATTCTAAATAAAAAATTAACATAGTTTAAGTTCATAACTCTTCTTCTCGTGTTATTATTATAACTCATGTTACAAGCACATATTTAAATAATTATTTAAGAAAATATTTGTATTTATAGAATGAACAAAATTAACAAGAATTATCGTAATACATGTTTAAGGGTGAGAAAAAATTTAATTGAGTGTAAAGTTTTATATTTTGATCCAAAAGAGCAACCAAATACAAAACAAAAATACAGTAACTATATATAATAGAATTTGAATATTCTTAACTTTGAGATTAGGTCTCTCTAACCTATCATTAAGCTATAAAAAAACAAATGTATCCCCTTAACTTTAAGATCATTGGCTGAAACAACCCAAAAAATATTTACAAAACAAATAATGCTAAACCACTAAAACATTGTAACAATATATAACATGTAAAAATAAATAAATAAAATGTGTGCTAAAAATTAACACTCTTACAAACTTCACACATTAAAAATTACATACTTCATATATAAAATAACATTAATAGAGCCATAAAATAAAATGACATTTTTTTTGTCAATATTTTTGTTTGTCTTTTAAATTATATACATATTATTCAGGTGTGGGCTTCTTAGCCCTCTAATTGGGCCGTGTATTGGCCCTGCTTAATTTAGACAGCATAAACAAATGACTGTATTATTCTGCAAAATAAAATTATTAGTTTCCATTAGTTATTTTAGATTTGGGGTTTCTTTGTTTTTCTTTTGTGTATTATTTCCACAACCTTCAGCTTTAACCATTTACCGCCCCCCTACCGAGAAGGAGAAGAAGGATCTGTGTCGCATTCACTGCTCATCGTCATGTCGCAGGTATACTCTCTATCATTCCTTCACTTCTCTATCTCTCTTAGATTCACCGTCTTCTTAAGTACCCTTTTGAATCCTAAGCTAATCGATTCCGATAATGTAAGGGATTTAGGGTTTTATCGATTATTCACTCTAATTTTGATTCCTTTCGTTTTCTTTGGGATTTTATTTCATCATGCAGTTTTATTTCTTCAATTTCTTATGCCTAAACCAATCCGATTAACACTTAAAACTCTTTTTTTTTGTGGGGGATATAGTTCTGTTTGCTTATACAACCTATGAAATTGAACTCTCTATATTCTTTTTGGTTCTTCAGGTCGATAACAGAAATTCGTCAGCTGCTAAGCGTGCCAGGACTGATGGTGCGTTATGCTTTTCTGGTTGTTTTCAATTTTACATCGACCACTCAATTTTTACTCTTTTTGGGTAGATTGGATAACTTCCGCACTCACCATCATGCTAGTTTTTTGTAGTAGAAACTCTTGGGTGGTGTTCATGGAAGGTGTAGTAAACACTTAAAATCAGGTTCATTTTTATTGATTGTTGTTTGTAGGTAGTCGGAGGGAAGACGATTGGACTTGCCCTAGCTGTGGCAATGTCAATTTCTCTTTCAGGACAACATGTAATATGCGTAATTGCACTCAACCAAGGCCAGCTGATCATAATTCAGTAAGATGTTATATGCAATTCACAATAATACTTTTTAAAGTTTGATTTTAATCTTGAAAATGATTTACAAAGGTTCATTTATTTTATGAAAAAATGTTATCTATAGCATTGTCTGTAGTCATCTCCTTTTTTTTTTTTTCCTCTTTTCATTTGTGTTTTCTTTTTATGTGGTTTCCTATGCATTTGTACTTTCTGTTCATTTGTGTTCTGTGAGTTTTTCTTCGCTCAAATGAAGGGGAATGTAAAGGGCATTGAAACCGATTGTTTAACCAAGGGCAAACACACACACGATTTTGTCTGCTTTAAAGCTACATTTATCATCAGATCTCTGAAGTGTTCATTATCCTCTACCCAGAAATCTGCTGCCAAGCCTCTACAAGCTCCTCAGGGTTATTCATCCTCAGCTCCTTATTTAGGTTCTAATACTCCCTCTTCTATATATCTTGGTGTCCCACCATATGGGTCGTCTCTCTTCAATGGATCATCTATTCCTCCCTATGATGTTCCATTTTCTGGAGGATCAGCATATCACTACAATTATGGCAGTCGCCTTTCTGCTGGCAGTCCTTATAGACCATTGCATTTATCTGGACCTACACCCTACACCAGTGGATCCATGATTGGAAATGGTATATTCTGTTTCCTCTTTTCTGTCATTCAAGTCAATGAAGTTTCTTAAATCCGATACATTATGTTTTGTCTTGAATTCTTTTAATTAATGAAAGAAAAGAGTAATGAGGAAAAATGAATAAGTAATTGAAATTTTCTTTTGGTATTGATAATTGTTGATTTAATGTTACATCACTTGTGCTATATCAGTTAATAATAACTTTCTGATTGGGTATTTTTTTCTTCAGGTGGGATCTATGGCATGCCCCAACTTCTGGATCGGTATGGCCTGGGTGTGCCTATTGGACCTGGAACGATGGTATGAGGCTATGAGCTCAATGTTTGAAATGAATTGTTTATAACTTCTAATTCTAGGACAAAACATTTTTTTTATTACTATGGATTATTTGTTGACATCATTTCCTGGAGAACCCTTGTTCAAGGTATGCAATTAATAGCTAGATATAGTTTTCTGTGGTCACAAGTCATGAAGGTCTTCTCAATGCATTTAGTTTTTCACCTTCACAGCATACATACATGGTCATATATTTATTTATAAAAAAAGGAAGTGTACATGTATGCATTTCTTCATCTTCAAATTTGGGCCTGATACCTCCTTAATAAGTTAGAAAAGCTATAGTTTGTAAATTGTGTAATTTCATGGGTATAATTGCAAAGTGGAATCTAATAGTCCATACATGCCTGGGCAGGGCGCTAGGCCAGGATTTTTTCGTGATGATAAGTCTCAGAAAAAGGGTGCAGGTTTGTTATATTTAGCTTTGTCTATTGTGTCAAATTAAAGTCAATGTAATTATTTTTGCCCACCTCATACTTCAAATAGATGCGACTCGGGACAATGACTGGACATGTCCAAAATGTGGTAACGTCAATTTCTCATTCAGAACTGTCTGCAACATGAGAAAGTGCAACACACCCAAACCTGGATCCCAGGTCTGCTGTCTTTATTTCTATTGTGCATATTGATTGTCATTGAATTTTTTATCATGCAAAAGTTATCATTAATGTACAAAATTTTTATTAATTTTTAACATTGTTGGATGTAAATATCTGGCTGCAGGCCTCAAAGTCTGACAAAAATTCTAGTAAGTAGCCTCCTATACTGCCACATCTTTCTCTACTTTAATGATGCCATTACTTTGATAAAATTGCAACAGTTTGTAATTATGTTTCTTTATTTGTATTTGCCATTCAGAGCAAAAGATGCCTGAGGGAAGCTGGAAGTGCGAAAAGTGTAATAACATAAACTACCCGTTCAGAACCAAGTGCAACAGACAGAATTGTGGTGCTGACAAACCAACTGAATCAGAAAAATCTCCTTCTCCAGTTGCGGATCAAAATGATCAGGTTTGTTGTGTAAAATATTTTCATTTTGTTAACCTCGATTCCTTGTTGGAGCAGTTATTGGTTTTCCAAGAGCAGCTTTGTATCATAATGAACATTTTCAAATGGCAAGCTGTTGTGAAGTTGTCGTTTAAGTGGATTCTTTGTAAAAGCTTCACTTTTGCTTCATTTCATTTGGAACCTTTTGTTAAAAGTTTTTATTTCCTCGGTATCTTTCCTTTGCAATCCTTAATTTGCAATTATTTACTGTTCCAGTGAGTACTAGGACATGTTTGAGGTTTGAGAAGGTCCAGAGTTGTCATCAAGCATTGCTCAATTTGGGTGTCTGACAGTCAGTCTTGTCGTCCTCTATGTTGCAGCAGTTGTCAAGTCACTCACCTTCTAATTATATGTGTCAAGTTGTTGTATTAACTGAGATGGTATTTTGGTCATTGTGGATTGTTATGATGCATGTGTCAGCCAGCTTTCCTGGCAGAAAGGTTACTGCAGGTTCCAGTTTTAAGTTGTTTGTTTTTGGTTCTTAACTGTCTGTGTTTAAGTATTACTTTAGATAAATAGATGCCTTAAAAGCATGTGAAGATTCCAAGTTTTTAGTAAGGTCTCATTTTAGTTTTGGGTAGTTGAGAAAGTGTCGTCTTGCTATCCTACCACTTTTAGAATGTGTTCATCCGCATTGCAAAAGCCATTTTCTTTCGTGGTCATTGCTTATAGCTTCATGGATGATTCACGTCGTGTCATTGAATTAAAATTGACCGTAGATTTTTAGTTGATTGTGGACTATTTACACGGTCATTTAGATAAGCACTCCTTGCCGATCATATCAGGTTTTTGGTAGTCCTTTATATGGTCATTAGTCGGAGTGCTGATGTTGAAGTTCCTGGTATCTTGGCCGATATTTTGTTCCCTTGCCTGTCCCTCATTGACAATATTCTAGAAAGTTGATTAGAAATTTGTTAGTGTGGACCTTAAAAAATGTGAATGTCAAGTGGGTAACTCGTGTCTACTTGGAATTATTCTCTGGTACCATAGTACCCGAATTTGTGGAGAAATCAGTTTCATAATTTATGAAACTCGTATCACATTAGTGATACTGTATCTTTGCTTAGCCCCCAAGGACTAATTTGGTATGGATTTTGTAAATTTAAAGAATAACGTGAATACATAAATAAATTCAAAGATTAAAAAAGAGATAATTTCAAGGACTTGGATTTCTATAAGTATTCACCAGAGTACTGCGCCACACGAAGCAGAGAATGATTGGGAAGAGAAGTAACTCGATATTGTAGTCCGAAGAAGCTTTTTGTTCTACGAGGGTACATTGGACAGCAATGGATCGAAAAGGTAGACTTTCTTGACGAACGACTTGGTAGAAATTTTTCTAGGTGTTCATTATTGGTATCGTTTCGTTATCGGCATTTTTGTATTAAAATTTAGTTCTATTTGCTTAATTTTAAGGATTAAATTTTGCCAATAAGTAAGAATGTCGTATAACTTTTTGACTTGCATGATAATGATGTTGATGAAATTACGATAAATGTTCGTTATTTATTTAGTACGGTTTTAATTTAACTTTGAAGGATGCAACTGAAGAAGCTGATACTAGAACCTGACTTCAATTTAACATTTACGAGTTGTCCCGTATAAAGAAAATTTAAACTTCTGTTCGAGAAAAGTAGATTTTAATTTATTTTCACAAAGTCGACTAAAATATTGCAATTATAGAACTAAATAAATACTTGTAAGCTAAAGATACGGGATTATACAGTTCGAGTGAGAACAATTCTATTCTTGGCTGTCATTAAAATATTCATTAAATGTTTTGTAGGTCGTTATGTGTGGACAATTTTTGCCGATGTTTACTAATAATTAACACAATCCCTTTCCTACGGAAAAATCAGAAGTAAAAGAAGCATAAATATGTATCCCTCGATTAATCATCATCACTCTATCCGTCTTTATAGAGCTTAGCCGGTCACAAGTTGCATTGGTGTCCACTTTCATTCTTCTCATACGTATCTTACGTGTACGAGTCGTGGTAGCATGGATTATCATAGTGAATTCGTATAATATATAACATGTACACAATTCACAAAAACTTTTGAAATTAGAAGTACTTTATAGTTAGTTGTGGGTATACTTGTACATATAAGTTTAGGCATATAACAAGGACTTGAAAAAAAAAATCGCGTGCTTTTTCATGCATTAATTCGTGTTTATTAACACCTAAACAGCCCAAATTCTACAAGTGGCGCATGACGATGATGTGCGTAATATACTTAAGAAACAAGTTATCGGGAGAAAAACATATGGTTTAGTAGAAACCGAAAGTTGTGATTAAATGACGGCGTAGTACACAAGGCAAAGTCTCAATCAAAAAAACAGGTTTTTCACCCTTCAGAGAACGGAGTTACCCAATGAGCATGCAGTTTAAACTCCACTTCATAAAAAGTGAACATGCAATTATTGAAACAGACGATAAGCCTTAGAAACTATGGAACTGGAACTTGTGTTTTTAATCCACTTGGTTGCAAGGAAAACCTGATTCATAGGGTGCAGTGAAGAGCTGAAAGTCTTGAAAACGATTGGTACTATCAAAATCTGAGAATGAGATACACATGCTGGAATGTGGTGGTGGTTGATCAGTGTGCCAATATTCTGATGAAGGGAGTGGTAAACGCTGAGTCATTTCATTTGTTATGGAGTGAGCGGTAGCATTTGTCCGAGTGGTAGAGTGTTGTAGGGAAAGGGACTTGGTCTCATATGCACCCCATGAATTGGTTGACAGAAGAGAGAGAGCACGGTTTACATCTTGTGTTGCATTTGAATCAGCTGAAGTAATTTGATCTTCTATACCTGCAACATTTGTTCTATCAAATTTTTGTTTCTACCAACCAATAATTCTAGCTGAAAATGTACAAATCACAAGGCTCAATTGTTAAGAACATGCACATGGTCAACAACCTGGAACAATACTCTTTGTTGCTATGTCTTTGGATGTTAGAAGGCCACTGGAATCATCTGAAAGCATAGCAACAATATTTGGTATCTTATTGAAGGCCTTTGCAGGCTTCGGGAGAAAATCTTTTGTCTGGGGGAGCTTGCTGCAGTGTATGTCTTGCCATGCTAAATTTGTAGCACTCCTTGAAAATGCAAATGGGCTCATTATTTGCCTCCCATCTGCAGAGTAATCACAAATTAGATAAATGGATATAGTAATTCATGATCCTTTGTTACGAAATCAACTTTTAGTGCTATCATTAGAAAATTTAATACTTTATTGACAGAAGCATACAAATAATTTTGCTTGATTGAGTTTTGACACGAGAAAAATAATTTAAAGTTGCGTTTTCTTAAATTAAGGATAATTGTACTTTTGCGCTAATGTAACTAAAAAGACATAATTAAATGTATGTCATGTTTAAGATGCACGCTATCCAGTTTCCTCCGACTTAGGCCTTTTATTATGTTTGTGCCTTTTACTAAATTACAGGTTATAAAAAATATATATACTGCATGCATATCACACAAATCCTCAATATAAGGAGTTCGGAAGAATCTATATAGAAATTATTTGAGTTTGAAAATAACTAATAATTTCCTATAAGCTCTTTTTTAGTTTATTTTAGTAAGCTTCCTATTGTAGCGTATAAAATAAACTAATTTTAACTGGTGTTATGATTAAATTTCTAATATAATAAGAACTTACAAAGAATAAATGTTTGAGTAAATTGTTCATCCAGAGGCCTGATAAATTGACCAAGTCATCAAATGAAGTAAAGGCTATATGTTTTGGGATTCTACAGTGAACCAAAATTCCCTTCATTCGCAGGTCACAAGTTCCCAAGCAGAAATTAAAATAAATTGCAAATACTAAGCACAGCTCAACAGCAAAAGTTATGATCATTAAAAAGAGAATTGGTTGTAGCATCATTGCAATGAAAGAAGATGGGCAACATTTTTGCACAGATTCACCACGTTTTGTTCCTCCATTTGTCTATAATTTTTATCAGCAATTCCATTTTCATAATTCTCCCAAAACCATGTATGATATGTACAATGAAAATGAGGCAATGAGGAAGAGAAAGATAATGAATTTTCTAAGGGAGGGGAATATCTCAGTTATACATACCAATAGCATAGGGTGATGAAGACAAAACTGATGGATTCAATTGGACTGCTTCAGGCTGAGGTTTGCGGCGCCTTGCATTGTGATCCGAAAGACGCCGTCTGCAGCTTCTTTTTTTGTCATCAAACTCTGACAGAGCATGGAACCTTAAACATAATAATTGAAGTGAAAATTTTATCCAATCTGATTTACTAATCTGTATTCATAATGATATGTGTCTGATAAGCATCAGTTTTACTGAATGCATTTTCATCATAGAACAATGAGATGCTAATTAGATTTACCTGCTACACTGCTGGCAAAATCTACGATCCAAACCAGAGATTACAACCCTCGGAGATTTGGAATGGCTTTCACAAACTCTGTGTTTGCGATGGTAATCTTTAGCAGATGAGAGGTTAAGGCCACAACCCTCCACCTGACAGATTGGATGCTGCAAATTCTGATTATTGGCTCTACATTTCTTTCCTGATGAAATGGGAACTTCAAAGGAAGATGCTTTCTTGGAATCACTTGCTGTGCAAACATCTTCAAAGTAGAATCTTTTGCCAAGCTTTAGAGTAAGCAATGGTTCACCAGAAACAGAAGATGGTTCTGCTGCTGGAGAAGTTTCAATTGCCTCGCCTTTGCATAATTCTTTCTTACCACTGGAATCATCTTGAGAACCTTCAAGGGTCAATATAGATGATATCTTGCTATCTCCATTTGATGATGAATTATTGGAAGCTGATTTTGAGCTCCTTGATGAAGAAGCGTGTATTAGTTCAGAGCCAGAACAAGCACTACCACCTGATGGATACAAAGCTCCAACGTTGATTTCTCCATCTGCTTCACCATCTGTTGCTTTTGTATTCAAGAAGAAGTGCTCCCAGTCCCATTGCCCCAGAGATTTTGCATTCCACTCCATCACAAGACCTTAGAAATTCATATACAAATGATCACTGTAATCTGGAAACTGCATTTGAAATTGTCAAGTGCTTAGTTTCTCTCCAAGCAAAGAAAAATCATACAAGATCCTATTAGAGAGTAAACAAGTCAAAGGAATCACAGAAACTGGTTTAAGTTTGGTAGAAGCGAAAAAGCACCGTGAATACCTGTATAAATGCAACAGACCAATGATTAAAAACACATACTAGGAATCTAAAAATTGTGAAGCAGTCTCAAATTTTAAAGAATCTATGAACCACTAATTTCTAAGGGAAAAACATTGATTAATCTTTGAAAGACAACATTAAATCATTGTTCTGGTCTTATGTTGGTGTATTTCCTGCTAGACTAGATGCAGAAGCAAACCAGTACTGAAACAAACAAGCAAAACAAGTACTTAGCAAATAGCAAAAGGTAAGTGCATAGCCTGTATAAATTAAATTAGGTTGACCATAATTTTTACCAAGGCGAATTCCCAACTTGAGATGCCCCCAGTAGAATGATCTTGTTTACAGTAACCAAAACAAAGAAGCTAATTACACAAATCCAATGAATTCGTGGACACCACAGTGTTCTGAAAATACCATCCATAACTTCACAGACAAATGGGTGGCTGTATTTTAGTGATGTAAGATTTCTCATGCTGATATCAAGCAGTCCCCACCATTAATAATAGGGTGAGTCATTTATCTATTGCACAGGTAAATTTAATGTATGTGCTAACTTCCACCTAGTCATTGTGTCATTATACAGTGTATAGTTAAGTTCCTGCGCAGGGTTAGCTCTACTATTATCCCACTCCCTCCAAAAAATCTAACCTCTGTAAACATTAGAAAGTTATAATTTATTCAGCCATAGCATAACAAAGAAAGGTACCGATCAATCCCTATTGATGTGATATGTTTAACTCTTTAACTCTTCCTACAAGTGTTTACTTACCACCAAAACTTCCCTTTCAACATGGGAAACCTTCAGATTCCAATAATTCGCATTTATCATAGCAATGTCAGGAGTCGGTCATTGAATGAGACCCCACAACAGCAACAACCCAACCAATGATGACTTCTTGACATATCAGAACTTCCAACACTATGGCCAACACTATACAGTTTAGGCCCTTGTTTTCGTTAACAAAAATAAAGGCCAACAACCTAACCTCCCAATCATAAATGCCAAAAACTGACTTTAATTTGACAATACCACAAAATAACCTAAGTTTTGTTAAATCATTAATGCCAGAAACACAATCAACCTAAACACCATATAGCATCTTTTTATTTTCAGCTCAAATCTAAGGAGGAAGGTGGAGAAGAAAGCTATGATGAATTTCTGATCCAATTGTTTTAGTAACATTTTATATGCTAGCTAAATGCTAATCCATGAAGTTTAAGCCATTATGGAAGCCAATGTTAATCCATTAGGTTATAGGAGGGGCCTCTTTTCTTGAGACTTTGCTAGTACATTAAAAAGCTTTGGTCCCCTTTACCCTCAAATAATACTAATGTCTTGCATGAGAGAAATTTCATTAAAAAACTAGAGGCATTTATCACAAGCTATGAGCGATCCCACTTTCCCAAGAAAATGATAAACCCCAAAAAGTGTTCAGTGTGAGAGAGATAGGAGGAAGAAGCAGCCACACACACACACACACACACAGAAGAAAAAAAAAAGCATCTTTCTTATGGGCTAGGCCAAAAGTCCAGCCTCACAATGTGAAAGCTTTCAGGAAAAGGATGTTGCAATCTGACTCTACCACAAAAGGAAAGAACAGTAAAAAGCAATAACACCATAACAGGAACAGTACTCGTAATCATCATCATCATCATCCAAACATTAATACCAATAATTAATACTCATGACCAGAAAAAAATACCCAAAAAAAGAAAACCTCCACGTCGTTGTCATTTTGGTTTCAAGTTCTCATCTTTATACCGCAAGAATGGAAATTGGAAAAGGTGCAGTGAATATTAGTGCACCCATTTGTTCGGTGGTTATTTCCTCATCAATCTCAGACACAGAAGAAAAACCATAAATGGGGTGGGAATAACAAAAAAGCTTGTCTTACCGATCAACACAAAGCTCGAGGCTTTTCATAGCTAAATCAGGAAAAGCAGAAGATAACAGACTGAAAATCAGTGATCTTTCTTTCCCTTCCTGATTTTTTTAATGTTTTTTGGTTTCATAAATAAAAAACGGAGAGAAAGTGTTATGCTTAGTAAAATTGGAAAATACTTACATAGAGAGTGAAGCTAAACATTTGGATTTGGATTTGGATTTGTACTAGCTTGTTGAGCATTCCATTAAGCATTGATTAGCATTAGTATTAGCAGTAACACAAAACGCTAAAGCTGAATGTACAACTACAACTACTCCCCATGGACCTCTCTTCGTGTCTCTCGCACTCACACAACACAACGCAACTATTCTGTTCTTTTTCCACTGTCAAAAAATAAAAGAAAAAGTAAATAACCCTTTCTTTCTGCTGTGGAAGTAGAAGGGGACAGCTCAGACTCAGTATAAGAATCCACACATTTTCATAAATAATAATAGAATTTCAAAAGAAAACAAATCAAGCAAGCTGGCTGTTCTTCAGTTCATAATATTCAGTTGGATTAAACAAAGTTTTTACTTTTCTTTTGCTATTTAGTTCCAGTATTAGACATGATTGCTTCTGGGAAATCATTAAACTTTAAGACAATTTTGTTAATATTAATTTTAGAGTTAATTTAAGTATATAAAAACTTTTTAAAGAAAAATATTATATTCTTTATATAATAAATGATTAAATTTTAAATAAATTTTATTATTTTCGAATGTTAAACATCAATTTTAAAGATTTATGTTAATTTTTCTTTTTTAATAATAAATCATCTAATCTCATGATAATTGACAGATGATGTATATGTTGAGTTTAACTTAGCTATTCAAAACATGTATCAGGTCAAACTGTGTTCAATGCATTTTTTCCTTACCTTATTTGTCTTTATAACTTTTCGTTTTTTCCAAGTTAAGAACTCATTTTCTTTTGAGTAAACAGCAAAAAAAAAGGAAGGATCAGTGAGCTGAAAAATGGAAAGGAAGATATAATATGACAAAAGAAAAGTTACACTCGTGTAGATGATGTTGGTGAGCCCTATGTGAATCTGCTTTGATTGAAGACAAGTATTTAGTCCATAGAATTGAAATCGGAGGAGTAGCAATAGGTGGCATAAGCGGTCCACCACCATTCACTTTGACCATTTATTAATGTATAGAATAATGGAGAAGTATCAGTGTGTCACGAAGAGAGCTCAACTTGAAGGAAAGAGATGCCAAATACACAAGTTGGAAATAAAAAAATTCAACATAACACGAGATAATTTGCACCTTTGCCAATAATTAATTAGATAACTTAATTCAACAATTATTGATATCATCATGCTGAAAATTCATCAAAGGAGGTCCTAAGTTAATCAATTATTATTATTATTATTATTACTCACTGAATTGACCCAGATAAGGATTTTTCCACGGACAAACTTGTTTATGTGACATTGTATGGTGGGTCATTTCAGTTTCACTGTGGAGACATAGTAGATATATGACTTTGGTGGGATATATATTCAACAATTATTGAAAGTTTGAAACAAGCTTTTTACGGCATTGAGTGGCCTAGTCAGCTCATAAACTCAAGTTATTATAGAAAAATATATAAAGAATGGTAAGATCTATCGTATGCATGATTAAAGCAAGAGGTTCACGAGAGCAGGATTGGCCATGTCTCCTCTGAAGCTGCGATATCAACTTCCGTTGAGTTTATATAATTATATCTCATGTAATAACCTATCAGTATACTGCATGTGTCAAATAATTATTCATCAAGTTTAATCAAGCAGGTATCTATGTCCAGCTAGCTAGCTAATAGCTTAAAGAACGATAATCAGCTATTGCTTAATAGAGTTTAGTCTAATTTTGCTTAATATCTCTACTTTCGTGATGGAATAATGGAGCCAATTGATTAATGTGATCAAGAAGAAACCGAGAGAAAATAGAACCTGAAAAGTTGAATGATAAAAAGGGAGAAAATTATATTATTTTCTCTTATTTAATTGTAGAATGCCCAAAAAATTTACTTAAATATTTCCCATCTTCTTAGAAAAAGAAGTAAAGAAAAAGAGAAGATTATTTAAAATGATAAATTTATCCATTTATCTGTTTTTCTATTATTGCATTAAAATGACAAAATAAAATATATTTAATTAAAATGTGTATACGACATTTTAAACAAAAGAAAAAAAATATTTATATATTTTTTCATTTCCTATATAATTAATTTTTATCCTTTTCTAAATAATGAAAAAACAAAATACTTTTTTCACTTCAATTTAACTTCTTCTTTTTTTATTCACTTTTCTCTTATTTTCTTTCTTCTCCATCCATAGAAAATATTATTAAATGTGTGTAATATCAGTGATAGCATTACAACATCTGCAATAATAACACCCTCATTTAAATAAAGTAGTTATACTCATTTAGGCTAGCTATTTGGATTAGATTCTTTGTCACCTCAATAAAAACAAAACTAAAATTTCATACACTAAATTTTAAGAGGATAAGGATTAAAAAGACAATAACAATATTTTAATAGTAATTAGTTGGAAGATCTTATCAATTATAAAACGTTCAAATCAAGGTACAAATACTTTCTTCATCATTGTCAACGTATTGGTATGTCACTCTTGTAATTACACTAGGGTTGTCAATGACATTCACCCTCATTTTTCATTGATCCCTGATGGTCAATCTACCATTAATTATTTTTTAAATGTAGATAATGATGATAATAAAAAAGTTCTAAACATAATTAAAATACAAGATCTGTGAGCTACACCATGCGCTTTTATAACGTTGTACGATCGAGTGACATTCCATTCCCTTTATATAGTAACATAAAAGGTTGTGCTTTCCTCTTATATACATCGTGAAGTTATTATGACATTAGGATTTGGTTATTAGTATATTATAAGGTGAAGCTTGAACATTGTAAAGTAACATGTAAAATATTAAAAGTATTATTTGAAAAGTTACAGTTAGTGTTGTGCTAATATATGCATTGCATAACATATGATATAATTATCCAATATATATTTCATTGATTTTTTTTAAGACAATCGCAGCATTTAATACACATTTTTTGGTAGTAACACGTTAATTTTTTATAATAAAAAAATGAGATACACATGTTGAAATAATGCTAAAAATAAGTTAAATAAAAGACATAAAAATGTAATCTTTTAAAATTTCATTTGAATAAATTAAGAGTAATAAATGACATATGTTTCTTCTCTAACATGTGCAGCAAAACCCTTAAAGTATATATTAGCGATGGGAAAGTTATTAAAGTCATGTTCTAAAGATTATACATTATTACACACGATTTTAGTGCAGATTGCATAGTCCATATTTTTCATGTCGCATTGCTCATTGTCTTCTTATGCTTAGTAGCCGAGTTTTTCTTACTTGGTAGGGATCAACCTGTGCAACCATTAATTAACATGTTTCCAAAATTCGAAAGATTTAACCATACAGAATTTCTACGTTGATATTCTGAATCCACAGTTGTGGTCAGAGTGGCATGCATGCAGTTTTTG